CGGGTGGTCCTGATGGTCCTGGTTGTCCATCTTGTCCTGGATTTCCGGGTTGTCCGGGTTGTCCATCAGGTCCTGGGTTTCCGGGCTGTCCGTCTTGTCCAGGTGATCCAGGTGGTCCTGGCGGACAATCGATACAGCCAGTGTCTCGTCCAGGGCATTGAATTGGAGCATAGGTGACAGTATTGTCTGGTCCTGGAGGTCCGGGGTTTCCAGGTTGTCCTATAAAAGTCGTAAATCATCATTTCTTATTTTATGAAGTAAACTAAAAGAAGCTTTCGCCAAATGACAAACCAGGTTGTCCAGGTTGTCCTGGTGGTCCTGGTGGTCCTGGAGGGCAATTGACGGTGGGTGGTGTACATTGGCAGTATGATGGAAGTCCCTGTCTCTTCTCACGGAAGATAGAGTTGAAGGGATTTTGGCGGGGTTTGGCTGGTGGAGAGACCGTGATTTGGTAATCCATCATCTGAGCCCATGCGGAATCGGTCTCAACGCGAAACACGGAAACTCCATCGAGAACCTCATCGTGGATTTCGTTGATGGTGCTGTACAGAGATGGTACAACCACTAAACAAGCAACGATGGCCAAAGTAGAGCAGGCTGATGCCACTCCGACGACAAGTTTCTCTTCGAACATTACGCTTCTGCTAGGTGCATCGGAACGCTTTTATAGCGTTATGGCTACATTACGAAGGTCGCGAACTGTATAGCGCCCTAAGGTTTTGGAAAACTGAAAAGCAAACCGATTGCGATAACGAAAGCGCATAGCTGCAACACTGTTTCGAGGAGTCATCATCTTTGGTCTTTTCGAGCTACTGACATGTTATTTGTTCTATAAATGGGCTGAATTCTTTGCAGTGAACGTCACAAAAATAATTGTTATTAATTTTAATCTGGAGAGCAATGTCGGAACCCTATATTTCCGTCGGTGAACCTTTGTTCTTCGAAAAGCTCTCATACATAGCTCTTAAAATAATCATAACAAAAAAAAACATATCAAAAAAAAAACCAAATGATAATGCATTTGCTCTTCTTATAAAGGGAAATGCGTTGCAGCTTGAAAGAAAGC